AGAATTAAAGAATTACTAAGAAGAGAATCTAGGTAAATGTTCAGTTGGCCATGAGCTCATGAAGAAGGAGGCTACTTGTATATTTCAGGATTGGCAGATCTCTGATACTTTTGATGTGTCAACCTGAGATCTACAACTTGAGTTTTCAAGGCTTGGTTTTATTTTTCTCTAAAATCACAGCAGTTGTGTAAAAATATCTCTCAAAAACCCATGTGTAAATTTTCCTCTGATAAAGCTTTTGTAAATATTTGAATATTTTCAAAATTCAGCAATAGCACAAATATTAAGATCAAAGTTTATATAATGTTTGAACATCAATGTTTTAGCTAGTGATTTATACTCTTAGTGGCTTCTCTCTTATGTTATACCTTAAGTCAATTCACTTGTGGTATATAAGGTATTAGGTGTTTGATATATCTTTAAGGACTACCAATTATAGTCAGATAAAATAGAGAAAATACCTGACTTGGTTGGATTAAATGATATTTATTTTTCTTACAATACCAAGATTTCTAAAAATCTTATATAACATTTACATATTTTATTACACTTTATCTATTTTCATTCAGTTAGTACTTAATGCGATATAATTTCCTGTGACTGATCTCAATCACCATTTTGACTGTATTCTTGAGTAAATGCCTAATAAAGCCAGAAAATAACTGGAAAATATCAATGCATAAGTTGTCTATCTATAATTTGCCATTAAATAGTTTAAGCTACAAAAATAAAACATTTTGATTGATCTTCAGTGTCTCATAGATGCTCAATTTTCCTATAGCTGTTCAATCCCTTTAGGCAAAAAGACTGTAAATACTTTTCAATGAAAAGTAGAATAATGTTTAGTTACATTATTACTTTTAAGGAATAGGACAGCAGGACACATAAAATATAATTTGTCAGTAAAATATATCATATGATTATCTTGCTCAGAGGGAAATCATTTATTTAATAAACTTTAATTTGAAAACTAAAAAACTAATTCTTTTTTTATCAGTTTCTGGTTTTAACCTAGAGTAACTTCAGATATGTCGATGTTCTATATGGAGCATATTTACGTGTAGCTCCAAGTCGTCTTCATTCCCAGGGATGTGTAAATAACAGGTTGCTTCATACAATATAGTGAATTTTATGAAGAGTTTTACTGATTTTAATGCAATTATACATGCTAACAGCTCAAAGATTTAAATTTTCATTTTCAGGAATCTTCTATTTGGTTAGTGCCACCATACCATCCAGACACTGTTTAGTAAACTTTTGAAACATTCTAAAAGAGGTTTTTAATGATGGTTAGTATCTTTGTGCCTTTCTTTTCCTTTTTGTAGTCTGTTACCTTAATGTGGAGAAACATTTTACTGTTGTTTTCACTCTAAGGAACTTCCCACACTGAAGAACACACCACATGGGTTCATCCCCAACAAAAGGGTTCAAAGGCAAGGTACTCTTCTGTCCCTCTGCCTCACTGCATCTCTCCCTCTCTCCCTCCACTTCTCCTTCTTTTTTCTGTCATTCTTTCTCTTGTTTTTTAGTGACAGTCTAGGAAAGTATTAAGTGCACATGTGTATTTTAGAGACATTTCAAATTAGAATAAGAAAAAAAGCCCAATCCATATTTAGAACTATCTGTCTCTCTTGAATGATATGAAATTAAAGCTATATTTAAACATCCTAGTATTTTTTTTCAGCACAGACTAAAAGAATAAAGGCTCATAAAAACTGCATGCTTTTTTTTTACTCAAGAAATGGAGATCTATTTGGAGAATTTTTAATTCAGAACTGAGGCAGATAAGGAAGGGCCAAAAGTCAGGAAATGAACAAAAATTAATCAGAAATATAGTTCCAAATTTATGATTAGCAGACACTGAAATGAAAAAAAAAGATAAGAAAACCTTTGGTCTCACAGTGAATTTATTCATAAATAAAATTGTATTTCTTGTAATGGCACACTGATAGGTAAAGAAATTACTGGCAAATTTCAGCTCATTCAGAGAGAAAATTAACAAAATTAATATTTTTAAATTGCATAATAAAAACCACAGATTGATTAAAAGTCATTTGATAAAAATTTTGTCTATTTCATATGTGACTTGCATTGGAAATGAGGATAACAGTTTAATTAAGATTAATTAATTAAGATTATTCAATGTTATGAGATAAAAATAAAAATTGGATATTTAATGGAAGCATGATTTTATTTATACTTTATATTAATATAAATTTTATACTATATGATATTACTTCAAAATTTTTCATATGTATTAATGTATAGTCTGAAGCAAGCACTAAATATCAAGGATTAAATATCTTATTATAAATGAGATGGAATCTTTTCTAGTAGAAGTTATATGCACATTTATATTTTTCCCATGAAAACAAGCTACTTAGCCTATTCTTTTAATGAAAAATTAATGTTTCCACTTTGTTTTGTTATAAAACTTATATGAGCAAATAGGCTGAGGATAAGATTGCAAACGGTGTTCAACATTAATTGATATTTAGAAACTCTATATTAAATAAAGCCATCTTTCAAACAATTTAAATTCATTCACATTTTAAACCATTTTTAAATGTCAATGGGATCAACTTCTAACCTTGTTATAATAACTGTATTATATTAATTGATTCTTCTATTAAATGTTTCAACAGAGAGTCAAGACTATTTTACCTCAAGACAATGTATTCCTTCCCCTTTTGGAATCAGATTTTTCCATTTCTACCGTGTTGTCATCATCACCATCTTCATCATCATTATCATCATGTTGTTAATAAATACATCTAATAGAAGGTATTAAGCAATAAACAACACCATTCCAATGTACAAGATGGCAGTAGCATATAGAGCATATAGAGTTTTTAATCAAAATATTTCATGAATTTTAAAAGCTATTATTTAACACATAATAAATAATGGCAAGCAATGGGAAAGCCATTACTAGCATTTAATCTTCACCTATTACAAGTGCTAATAGATTATTTTATTTATTGAAAGTTACTAAAGTCTTGAAGTTTTCTATTGTTATTTATAAAACTTCTAACGTGCAAGCAAACCTTACACAATGCATTTAGAAGCACTGTTAAATACCAAGGCATTGGAGTCATATGTAGCTGTGGTTAACTACATTGCTATTTGAAGAACATACATGTGTACAAGCAACAACAGCTCAGTATATTTTCATTTCAGTGAGAGTGGAACACTGAAAACAGAGGCTACAGAGAGAAGAATAAAACTGACAGCAACTCATTGAAGGAATAAAACAAAATTGAATAAAAATAACGTAGGCTGTGGATGGAGTTTTCTGAATGAAACTTGAATTTTGTGGTGAGGCAGTAAATAAGTTAGATCCACATTAAGGTTAAAGTCCTCAGCACACCATGTCCAAGAACAAGAAAAAGTCAGGGAGGATGGGGATGGACACCCAAGCAGAGAGTGATGTGTCAAGAGAAGAAAAAAAGAGTGCAGAAAAACAGCAAGAACATAGGTCATGACAAGGAGACTAATTCAGAGAATTCTTCATGAGAGAAACAGGAGAAAAATATTTGAACTGTTTCTTATGTAATGAAAAACATTGATATCAGAGAATTCTTCACGATAAAAACAGGAGAAAAAGATTTGAAATGTTTTTTTATGTTATGAAAAAACTGATATTTAAGACGTCAGTTCTTCTAGGAACTTTACCTGTAATATTTCAACAGATGAGAACCAGGCTAAAAAACATACTAGAAAGTGAGTATATGAACATGAAGTAATAAAATAGGTTTTAGAACTGTGTCTAAATCACAAAACTATAAATAAGTTGTTTTACTGCGTGTCAACAGTTGTAATTTTCATTCTCTTTGGGTTATTTTACACCAACACGCTGAGGCCAAAATAATTTATAATAACAGTTTGAGTGTCACAAACAGTTGTAATTCAAAATGTTTTTAAAACATTAGAAATATACACTATACTCTTTTTTCTTATCCTATATGCTAAGATGATAAGCTGCAAAGCAATAATGACTAACTCAATTTTATGTCTCAAAATACCTATTTTTTAATCTCATCATGTTTCATATCATTTTTAGAGTAGTAAATATTCATAAATGTCTAACTGTATATTGTGTACATTTTTGGGTTTTGTATAGAAGATTCTAAGTATAGTCTCATCCCATCTGAACTTTCATCTATAGTATGTAGTTGGGTCAGGAATCTGCTTTCTGTCTCTTAAACAACTGAGGAAAGATATTAACAAAAATTTATTTTGCATAAATGAGTCTAATATGAATAGCAAGATGCCAAATTAATGAGCCTGCTATGTATGCTAAATTGGTGGAAAATCTTTAGCCAATAAGATGAAAATCATAGAGTTATCCTATCTACATGGGATAAACTATTTTCATCTTTCTGTTACAAAGACATTGATGATGAATTACAAATAATGTTTGATTAGGTGTTTAAAATGTGACCAGTTCCCATTTCATTGATTGTATTATATATGTTTCTAGTCACTGTCATTGTTGTATAGGTATAAAAATAATAACAAAATTTGTAAATAAAATCCACATTTTATGTTTATATTTTGTTTGTCTAAGTGCCATTTTTGTTGTTTTGAGATATTCAGTAAAGAAACAATGTTTAGAGAAAATTTGTGTATCTTATCTTCTGACCTAAATAGTACATCATTTATATTATTACTACTTAGAGATTTGTGTTTAAATTTTAAAGTAGACATCTATATAATGCTAATAAACTTTACATATCATCATAAGAAAATCCAATTCAATCTATCTGAATAATAAAAATTATTAATGGAGTGTTTATTTCACTATCAGGTGGCAGATTTTTTTAAACTAGCCCATATGTTGTAATATTCTCATTACTGTATGTCATGTATTAAAATATAATACTTTGTTATAATCATGAAATACTTTAGACTGACATGTGGCCAGTGCGTGGGAATGATTGTTACATTATGTCCATTTATAACTTTTGTAATGTCAATCTCTCTGTGTTCTTCTATAGAGGTCCTTCTGTAGCGCTATGGTGGAAGAACTGAGAATGTCCCTGAAGTGCCAGCGTCGGCTCAAACACAAGCCACAGGCCCCAGTTATTGTGAAAACAGAAGAAGTTATCAACATGCACACATTTAACGACAGAAGGTTGCCAGGTAAAGAAACCATGGCATGAAGCTGGGAGGCCAATCACCCAAGCACAAACTGTCGTCTTTTTTTTTTTTCCAAACAATTTAGCGAGAATGTTTCCTGTGGAAATATGCAACCTGTGCAAAATAAAATGAGTTACCTCATGCCGCTGTGTCTATGAACTAGAGACTCTGTGATCTAAGCAGTTTCAGTGATCAGACTTGATTTACAAGCACCATGGATCAACAAAATTACACGGGGTTACACTGTTTATCATGGGTTCCTCCCTTCCTTCGAGTGAGTGTTACATGCAAATGTTGTGGCTGGTTTCAAATGCAGTCCAGGGAGAAACTGCCAGTTCCTTCTGAAGCTCAACTGTTGTCAGGAGATGGAATGTTGGTGCCCAAAACGGTAACCAATAAAAATGCCATAAAAATTTTTTAAAGTGCGTGAAATCAGCAAAAATTGTAGTGTTACAAGAAACAGTACCGCCCCATGGTCACCACCAAAATAGAGGTGATAATGTTACCAGCCCCAATACTCAGTAAAATCATCATCTGAATAGATAATATGTGTTCATAGAATGTGAAAGATGTAATGCAAAACACATCAGTATTCAATAGAAGTGGAACAGAAAGCGGACCACCATCAGTTTCTTTTATTTCTCAATAGTCTGTGTCATGGATTGTGATATAGATGGCAATATCAAGCTACTAATTTTTTTCTTAAAATACCCATGGCAAATATTTTAATATGCAACTTCCTCCCAGAAGCCCCTTTCCTAACCTACACCAGAAATAAAAAAGCAACCATTGGTATAGAGATTCTGATGTAAAGGATGATGTTTTGCAATCCTTGTCGTGAATTGTAAAACAGGGCTCAGTGTTACTGGTTATGTGGAAGAATGAAGCTTTCACTCTGACATTTTGCTATGTCAACTGAAACTCTCCTTCCTCCTGGAAAGGACCTTGGTGGAGCCTGGGCAGATTCCATTGATAAGAGAATGGGGACTTGTCACCTATACAAAAGTACATGACAGAACTTTGAGGTGAACTGCATTTAACAATAGTCACAATGTTAAAAGAACAAAATTCTTGAGCAGTTTTTTGTTTTGTTTTGTTTTGTTTTGTTTTCAAAAAATGTTCAGGTTTATTTGTGGAAATGCAAGATTTCTATGAAAATAGTTTTTGTATGGAAATTTTTGTAATACTTTTTATCAACAAACTAAGAATATGTGTTCCTGTCAGGGGTGTGATGTCAAGCATGAACGGTAGTGCGTGTGCACCACCAACGTTTGGTGAAAACTATTTTTATCAAGAAAAAGGAATCATAGAAGAGAAATATTTTCAAGTTAGATACTATAAAAGCTAGGTGCACTACCACCACAGCTTGTAACGCCACACCCCTGAGTCCCATAAGGCGGATAACATTGTAATAAACAGTTGTGTGTAAAATGGTAAAAGACACAGACCTCTTGACAACATTGTAAAAACAGTTGAGTGCACACAGTTTGCTGTTTGAATCCAATGCACAAAAATTTTACAAAAATCCATTAAAATTATGTCCATTTTACTTTCAGCTTTGGCTTGAATTTTTCTCTTGCATGTGTAAATGAATATAACATGTGCTTTTGTATAGAAAGTATACATCAGGAGGTCTTAGGATCTCAAAGTTAATGTCTTCTCAACTTCCAGCAAAAAGGAAATGGACAGCCTGGGGGTGCTTCTCTCTCTCTCACTGTCTCTCTGTCTTTCTCTGTCTCTCTGTCTTTCTGTCTCTCTTTATATATTGGTTTCTCTCTGTCTCTCTCTATCTCTCTGTCTTTCCCTCTACCTCTGTCTCTCTCTGTCTCATTTACACACACACACTCACACACACACGAAGAAACATATACACATTGTTTTTAGAATTAGGGTAGCTGGAATGAGAAAATTTATGATTGTAGACATGACCAACTTTATTTTATCTCATTTATAAGTGGAAATTGAATAGTTCACTCTACTGTGTTATGCTATGGAATGGTCACTTACCTATTTGAAGTTCAACTCATATACAATTTCAGAATTTTCTGTGCATTGATAATTCAATAAACATCAGCAGATGGACAAAAAGAGAAAGGTTCAGAATTAATAATTAATTTTAGATCCTAATACATTAATAGAAACTGTAAAACACAAATTATAACAGTTTTATGTTTTGAAAATCAAATCTGTAAGATTCAATTGATTCTCCTGATTAATTAATTAACTCTAAGCAGGGAATTATAATTGGAACCTCTGGCAGAAAAACCACTGGGAAAGTTCCCGTAAATTATTTCTTAAAATAATAAAAATAACATAATGAAATTATCTCAATTTAATTAAGATTTATATATGTGAGTACTTTAATATTTGTGTGGTATGACTATTATCAGATTTCAATGATTATTGTGTTCAAGCTACAAATGTCGTTATACAAATCACTGCTAAGGTATCAGTACTGGTGTATTTAGTGGGAAGCAAGTTTAAATAACATAAATAATATAATGTGTTCATATTACTAATGTTTTTAATAAACAAATTTTAAATTTTCTGAAAATATGAATTTGTATCCTAAAAACTTCAGTATTAATATTATAGGAAAATTCCACTAATATATAGAATCTGACACATGTAGGATTTTAACAATCAATGAGAAAATGTCAAAAATTATCACTTGAAGCCACTCATTTAATAAATAACAACTCTCACTAAGCAATTTTTAAATATATTTTAAGGATATAATTTTAAAAATTTGAAAATCTCATATATATGGATATGCAAGCCCTTTAATTAGTCATAGTTTAATTTAATTTAAAAAATTTTTAACTTCAACTTATTACTGAATTTAATAATCTTAACTTTGGACATAAAATTACAACTTTATTGTTAAGAAGCCAGAAGATAATGACTTTGAATTCCAGTAAAATTTGATAATAATTTTATTGAAAAATTGAATAGAGTTCTTAAATCTGTAACAACCTTACAAGATTTTAACTTTATAAATAATATTAGATATTTATAATGTATATTCTTCTATATTCTAATTCTAATTAATATTTCTTATATGTATAAGCTTTTAATTTTTCCAAAATATCTGGCCATAATATAGATATTAATAAAATGCTAATTACTTTCACACATAAAATTAAACAGTGAAAAACCTCTAGGTTGGAAGCATATGAGAGTCCTCACTGTTTTCTAGAGGAACCATCAAAAGCAAAGAGAAGCTAACACCTGTTCTAGACAACATCAGAACCTATGACTTGAGAGGATGAATGGAAGCTCAAGGACTTCATCTATAGAAACCAACAAGAATGAAGACACCAGGGGTTTACATTTACATTTACAACAGAATAATCTCTATCTCCCTGGGAACACCAAAGAAACACACATAATTACCAATGAACAACCCTAACCATTACAGGAGTACACAAGAAATATAGTCTAGTTTCCAAATGTGTAAAATGAAGAATAGTTTATTGATGAAAATGTTTCAGATATTTTATTTCTCACTTATATTTTTATATAAGTGCATACATAATCAAAATATAAATCCCATGGCACCATTCTTGAGTAGTATATATATGAAACATAACTTGTTTCAAAATGTTTAAGGATCGTCACATGTTTTGGTGTCTGTTTACTTTGAAATATATTACAATTGCAGAAAAGTGCATACACAAGGCATATATACATAGAATTGTTGTTAGTTATTTTAGATTTAGCGATAGTTATTGTGTCATTCAACCTAGGCTCAATAAAGGTCCTCTGACTTGCTGATAAAATTTGCAGAGAAGAAGTTACAGTGATCTTTGATCATGAAATATATGATAAACTCATCTGTGTTTGCCTATGCCAATAGAGTGTGCAGCATTGTAGAGAAACAGTCTTGAGATATTTGTGGCAGCTTTTAAAAGTAGAACCAATGAGAACTTTGGTTATGTCTGGCCTACCTAGTTGTATACAAAATTTGAATCACTCTCCTCCACTATGAGCTGAAAGGTGACCAGATCTGCAAGCATATACAATTGTGAAGTCTTCCCCTTGTCTTCAGGTAATGGTATTTGCCTCAGTGCAAATTCAAATATAATGATTCTACTATTGCTCTTAAAATATGTCCTTTACTTATTTGATTTTTTTCTCAAGTTTTTGTGGTTTATATAGAAGTACTGAATAGGCTCAATGGGTTTTACATATTTTATGTCTATTATTCTACTCTAATTATTTGGCTATGCATCGAATCTTAGCTGAACAGTAGTTCCTTGTAAATTTTGTCTATTTCCCCCTCATTTATTTCTCCTTATCACTCCCATTTCCATCTCTTTCCTCCCATTCCTCATTTGTGTGTGTGTGTGTGTGTGTGTGTGTGTGTGTGTGCTTTTTTTTTCTTATCTCCTCTGATGATCAGACTCCTGTGGAAAAACTAAAGTCATGGACAATCTTTCAATCACAGTTCTTTGGAATTTTTCTTCTTCTCCTTCTCCTCCTCCTCCTCCTCCTCCTCCTCCTCCTCCTCCTCCTTCTTCTCCTTCTTTCCCTTCCCCTTCCCCTTCCGCTTCCCCTTCTCCTTCTCTTCCTCCTCCTCTTCCTTCTCCTCTTGCTCTTCCCCCTCTTCTTGTTTTCTTATCCTTCTCCTTCATCTTCTTCATCCTCCTTTTCTTCTTATTTTCCTCCTCTTCCCTTTCTTCTTTTCCTTCTTCCTCCTTCTCCTGTTTCTTCTCTTTTTGTTCCTCTTCCTTCTCTCATTGTCTCTTTCTATCTCTCTGTTTCTCTGTTTCTGTTCCTTTGTCTCTGTCTCTCTGTGTCTCTATCTCTGTCTCTTTCTGTCTGTCTTAGATGTAGACCTATCTGTATCAATTGTACTAACCCTTACTAGACTTCTTAATGAAGCTATTTTTCAATTTTAGGGAAAAACATTGAAATAATACTCCATTGTTTCCTTTCTTTATGCTACCCTTGTTCTCTCTACATCTGTTCTTATGATTTGTAGTTACTTAACTTTGAATCCTCAGTCTATTTACTTTCCTATTTCTCTATACTCTTATTTTATATCTATAGTCTAAAATATTTTTTAG